TGCGGCAAGGAATAGAGGTGTGAGAGTATGCTGACGCTGCGCCCAGCGAGCTTCTGCTTGTCAACGGCGGCGCTGCTGCTGCTGCTGCTGCTGCTGCTGCTGCCGCCGTTGCTGCTGTTGCTGCTGTTGCTGCTGCTGCTGCTGTTGCTGCTGCTGCTGCTGAAGACGATGATAATGAAGAAGATACAGAAGACCGGGGCCGCCGCAGCGTGCGGCTGCCGCTGCTGCTGCTGCTGCTGCTGCTGCTGATGGCTGTGTTACTTCTGCTGCTCCTGTATCTGTTGCTGCTGCTGTGATTGCTTAAAACGCTGCTGCTGTAGGTGCTAGACCAGCTGCAGTTGCTGTTGCTGTTCGGGCTGCTGCTGCTGCTGCTGCTGCTGCTGCTGCTGCTGCTGCTCTGAGCAGCCGCAACAAGCTGGCTCATGCCGCTGCTGCAGTAGCTGCTGCTATTGCTGCAGCAGCTACTGCCACCGCTGCAGCAGGTGCAACTACAGGATGCTGCTGCTGCCTCTGCTGCTGCTGCTGCTGATGCTTCTGCTGCTGCTGCTGCTGCTGCTGCTGCTGCTGCTGCTGCTAGCGTTGAAATTTCCTGCGGGAAAAACGGGGTCAGCGTCCCCCTGCGAAGACAGCTTCTGCTGCTCTTGCTGCTGCTGCTGCTGCTGCTGCTGCTGGTAGTATGTTGCGCGCTTGCTGAGCTGCTGCTGCTGCTGCTGCTGCTGTTGTTTCTGCTGCTGCTGCTGCTGCTGCTGCGCTCGCCGCGGTGGTTTAGCTAATGAATGGGTGGTGTTAGGCCAGGAGAAGCGTCGGCGGTTGCTGCTGCTGCTGTTGCTGCTGCTGCTGCTGCTGCTGCTGCTGAGAGGGGTAACACTCGAGACGGTTGCCACAGCAGCGGCAGCAGCAGCAGCAGCAGGAGCAGCAGCAGCAACCAGCTGTTTTGCTGCTTGTTGCTGCTGCACCCATATCCTGCTGCTTCTTCTCTGTAGCTGCAGCAGCAACTCGATGGCGCTGGGATCGTCTCCCTCCTAGCAACCGAAGGCAGCAGCAGCAGCTGCTGCAGCAGCAGCCGCAGCAGCAGCAGCAGCAGCAGCAGCAG